CAACAATGGCTCTCATTTCACTGGCATGTCCTGTGCTTCAAAATAAAAACAAAGCCAGGCACACATTGCAGTTACACACCATTTCAGCAGGTACACCCTTGCCTTTTGTGAAGGAATTAGGAGAGCAGTAGAATTGTGATTTTATATTTTATTTTATTCCAGGCTTTTAACAAAGAACCTCGAGACTGTAGATGCAAAATCCTGTAGACATATTGTAGTGACAATGCCCATGTCCTCCTTTTCAGACACGTACAACGACTCCTGCAGCACAGCCTCAGTAGAGTCAGACACGAAGGAAAGTGAGGTGGCCAAAAGCTTCCCAGCAGAACAGAGGGCTGGCAGCTGAACAGCAGGACCAGCCTTCCTCAGGACCCTGTCCACCTGTCTTGATCTTGGGTGGACACTGGATCAAAGTTGCCTTTCTCACAAGCTCTAAGGTTCACAATTCACTAAAATTTTATCAACATGAACAGATGAGAACTGTGCTGTCCACCTGGCAAGCTGGGAAAAACAAACTTGAAAGGAGCATTAAACATCCAGAAAACATCAAACCTACCTTCAGTATTAGAGGATAAAAATGCTTCTCGCATTGATTATCAAACTGTTTCAGAAGATGTGGCCTAAATTAGGTCGACAGCAGAGCTGAAGAGTCTCTATGCACGCACCTTTTGGCAACTTTGCTTGAGCACCATATCACTGCAGAGGGGCACGTGGTGGTTACGAGTCCTTGCTCCACCCTGGGGTCACCTGGAGGTTTTTCCATTTGCTTGCCTCTGGCTGTGCCTTCCCTGTCCTCCTTAATTCCAGCTGATACATCATCACAAATGTGCCCTTTTTGCTGTCAGCCAACACCAAAAACACCCCGCTTGAGGGTGGCTGTGGGAAGGAGACTTCTGGCTGGGACCATCAGAGGCTCCGCGCCGCGGTGGCCGGGCAGGCCCTGCTGACACAGCGTTCCACACCTGGCACGGGGCTGTGGCAGCTCCTGCCTGGGCTAAGCAGGGAAGTAAAGACGTGTAACAGCTACTGTGACAAAGAACACTCTGAACTCTTTTTACAGTCTAAGTCATTCCTCTGCCCCCTCTACGGTCTCTGGTTGCTGGATCACAACCTTTGCATTTGGTGCCGAGAATTGAGTTGAATGCCATTTACTGTCACATGTTTGAGTAGACTGCATGCTTTCCTTGTGTGCTGGGCTATGAGTAGATACATTTCACCCCCCATTTGGAATATACTTAAGCATTGCAAATAGGCAGTGAGCATTAGATGCTCCAATGAGTGGATAAAGTGTTGTTGTTAAATACTTCTTTCCAGGATGTTTGATGAAAGGACTGTACCAAATCTCTGCCACGTAAGGATGTAATGTATAATATAAAGTGATTACAGATGTTATGATTCCTATACAAGCCATTAGCTCATTTAGAGAAGCTGTTAAGGCATGAAGACATTTTGATGGTAATTGGGTCTTATGTCCCACAAAAGCTGCTAGTACTGATAAATACTGCTAGTGAAGATAAATAGCTAAAGTAGCTATTTAAACTAGCTGCTAGTAAAGATAAATATTGACTAAAAGCTGCAAACAGGCAAAGATCAGTCCGGTAAAAATGAGCCCAGAAGAAGCTCAAGAGTGAGTGAGTGGCTTTCACTCTTAGGGATGTTTTGTTTAACCCTCAGACTAGTGGTGCTTTATGTAAATAACAAAGGGCACTAAAAGCACTAGAAATGGAGATGAAGCAAACCAAAACCCACTCTTTACTAACTGAGCCTCTGAGCAAAGCAGTAGGTGTGTGTATCATTTCTGCTCTCACCTTCGCAGGGACTCGAATGTTTTCCTTTTTGTCTCAGTGGAGGCTGGTGTTGCAAGTACCTTAGTGTGGGAGTCAGGATAGCTGTGGAGCAGGCAGATAGGTCTGCTTGACAAAAAGCCTTGGAACAGGTAAAGGCTTAGTCAGATTTTTTTTTTTTTTTTGCTTGTGAAGATTTGTTGCTTGATTATAAGTTGCACAGTGGTGATTGAATCCCATGGCTCTTCTAACCCTCCATATCTAAACTCTGTGATTTTTTACATTTCTGTTCATGACTAAAGAACCTTTCTGGAAGATTTTTTTTGTTCAATAGAGGTAGGAGCTTGCCTGTTTGTGTTGGTCATTTACCTCAAAACTGACATGTAGGCTCTCAGGAACATGAATCCTCTTGGTCTACTGTGGTTATCAGCATCTTGCAGGAAGAATAGATTCCTTTCAGTCCCCTAAGGAAATATGCAGCGACATTTTCTTATAGTGCAATTACTTTATCCTCTCTCTAAAATGAGTTCCTTCTGGTTTCTCTATTACTTTCAGTAATTTTTGCACAGGAACAGTGCTGCTGTCTACCCCTGCCCTAAGCACAGGAGAGGGAAGGGCTAGGGAGCTTTGATTGCACATTAGTGAGAATTGTAAGCTTTTGTGTGTGGGAGAGAGAGAGGGAAGGGTTACCCTGAGTGTATGAAACTGCCAAATTGAAGATTTGTGACATTGCTGATGGATGGAAAGACAAAGGAGCAACCTTCTGGCTTTGCTGATGAGACAAAATGGAGTTTGATGACTTTTTTGAGTTTTTTAAATAGTATACAGGACAGTCTTTTAATTAGTGTATTTCTGTCAAGCAAAGTGATAATTAAGGGAATTAATTTCCATGTACAGTCTAGAAGATGATTTGGTAAAGTCCAGCAACACTAATGTGTCTGTTAGGGTATGCTTATTCTGTCTGCAGGTCTTTGACACCATCCTATTCAGGTAGATGGACCTAAAAATCATAGTTTTCAAATAAGGATTTCATTTCAGTGTTGTTTGAAGATGCTATAGTGACCATTTAGAAGTCAATTAAAAGTAATGGTTGTGACTAAAACTTGGCTGTAGAAGACACCAGATCCCAGGAAAATCCATGCTGCAGCAGCCCTTGCTGCTGGCCCTGAGCCTGGCTGTGCTCCTGGGCCTGGGCTGGTCACCCCTGCCCTCCAGCTGAGGGCTTGCCTGGGCTCTCCTCTCTCTGCCCTGCTGCTCTTCTGCGAAACTTCAGAAACTTCACATGCTCAAAACTGCCCTCAGAGGTGCTCACTCAGGTGTGGGTGGGCTGCAGAGATGAGCAGCTGCACGACACACAAGTCTTGCTTTTAGTAAACCAGGCTAAAATAGAATCAGCCTGATCCTCTCTCTCACCTGGAACCCCACCAGGTGGAGAACCAGACCAGTGCTGCTTGTCTTGAACACAAACAGCTGCAGCCAAACCACATCTGAGCTCTGGCTTTCCTCGCCAGTGACAGCAAAGCTCTGTGTGTGTCGTGTTCTGGTCATGTGTGTGTGATGAGAAGCCATTTTATTATCTATGATTTTCTTAGAGTCTTGATATGTCAAACAGGATTGGGTAAACAGGATTGAGAAAGGCCATGTGCTTCCTCTCCAAAAGTACTCAAAGACTTCAAATATATATATATGTGATTAGAAATATATAAGAATAATAAGAAAAAATATCCAAAATGTGTATTTCTTCTTGCAGCTGGACTGAAATAGCTGCTAAGATTTCCTCTCCCCAGCTGAGAATTGGTACAGTTTGTTTTCTTACATGATTTCCATGGTGTTGATAATGATGTATTTGTATATTGTGACTGATGAGAGATAATCAGACAGGGAAAGAGCACAGAATTACCTGTCCTTTTTTCCAGTCAATACAGAATGTATGAATTTATTACAAGAAAAAAGTGTGCAAATGAACTTCCTGTAATTAGGCCATTATGACCTGTGTAGAACCACACTTTGTTTGAAATTTATAAAATTAATAACTAGTACAAAACCCTGTGGTTGATGTCTTTATATGAAGCAACAAGAAAAATGAGATTTTTTTTTTCTATCTGAAATAAATGTTATCAGCAAAGGCACATTATCAGAGCTGAAAAAATTGGCACATTTGTCCAATATAAGCTGAATTTGTCCAACACACATGTCAAAAGACAGAATAGGGTTTTTTTTTCCTTTACCCATCTCCCTTAGTCATGTTTTGAATCACTGGGACTCTTAGGGGAGTGCAAAGGTTCACACAGACAGCTCAGTGGAAGTCGTAGATGACTTTATAATAGTTACTCCTGAGATATCTGCATGCTTTTGGCTACCAGTGTTCATTAGGGAATGCTAATTGACCCAAATACAAGTTGTGGATCATGCAGAAAGGCAAGCAGGTAAAAATTAGAATGTAGAAACACAATGCAAATAGAGCAAGATAAACTGGAGCTGATTTCATGCAGTATCCAGATTTCTGGGGGCAAACTTCACCTCACCTGACTCTTCAAGTCCTTGGCGTCACCATGTTCCTGCAGTTGATACTGCTATGAGGGAAAGAAGAATTAGGAACACACCAGAGGCCAGCATGGGGGCTGCTTTGTTCCCTGCCCCAAGCAGACCCCTGGCAGATGCCCAGGGCAGGAGTGAGGGATGCTGTCCTGCTGCTCATCCCCTGTGCCCACACAGCTCCTGCCCTGGCCTGGGGAGCTGTGCAGGAGCCCTTTGTGTGCCAGAGGAGCCCTTTGAGTGCCAGAGGAACCCTTTGAGTGACAGAGGAGCCCTTTATGTGACCTAGGAGCCCTCTGAGTGCCAGAGGAGCCCTCTGTCTGGCTGAGGAACCCTTTGAGTGCCAGAGGAGCCCTTTGTCTGGCAGGGGTGTTTGGATGCAGCACTAACAGTGACCCCCTGTCCATCCACCTTGGCTGGAGCAGGCCTGGGAGCAGCATGGGGCCAGGCAGCAAAGGATGGCCCCATGGGGCAAGAGCCCATCTGGGGCTCTGCTCAGCCCTGTCTTACTTTCAGCAGGTGCTCTGTGGAGATGGTTACACATCTCCCTTCTGTGCTTTAACAAAAAATCCAGGCAGCAAAGGATGGCCCCATGGGGCAAGAGCCCATCTGGGGCTCTGCTTAGCCCTGTCTTACTTTCAGCAGTGCTCTGTTGAGATGGTCACACAATTCCCTTCCGTGCCTTAACAAAAAAGATGGAGTTTGGCCTTAAATAGAGTATTTTCTAAAGAACACAGGGGAGGCACTGATTTACAGGCTGTAACCTGTGCGGGGACACTGGGCACCAGGTTCTCAGACATGAGGGAGATGCACGAAGCTTTCCCTGGCCTTGCAGAGCCCCAGCTCTCCTCCCAGTCAGCCCAGCAGTCATTTCTCTTTTCACTTTCTTTCCTAACCATCATTTATTTCCTTCTGCGTGAGTTTACAGGCGAGAGGCATCGCTCTGCCCCTCTCTCTCCACCTCCTTCCCAGCCATGTGACTGAGCACTCCCTGCACCGAGTGAAACTTTTCAGAGTTAGGAAAGCTCGGGCTCCCGGGGGAAGCAGCGCCGCTCAGGAGAGCCCGCAGCCGTGCTGGCCATGGGGAGGAGCGCCCGGCAGCTCATCTCGCTGACCCTCGCCTGTGGTGAGTAACAGCATCATTTCTACCTGAAAAACGGGACATTATGTCACTTTGGTTTCCCTGCAGTCAGGACAGCACCCAACAGAGTCAAAGCTGTGGATGGTTTTGTTGCTAACACTAAGGGGGCTTACAGTAAAGTGCCACTGCTAAGAAATCACCATACCTGCTGTTCTTTGCAGCTGGTATGCCCTCAGTTTGATACACTTAGAGTATCAAACTCTGTGGTGGGATACACTTCGTTTTTGATGTTTTCTTCTCTATTTTCCCTTGAACTCTTGGGGTGGCATAAACTCTGTGTGAAGGAGTCAGTTCAAAGCCTTGTTAGAAGCAGACTTTTTTGGCTTTGCTTTTCATAATTAAAAATAATTTCCAGATCTGCAGATCTAACTGAAAATCCTGAGTGAGACAAGCAGGAAAGAAAAAACTAAGGAAGCAGTGCTCGAGTCATTAATTTATCTGCATTGCGAGATGCAGAGCAGGTTAGGAAAGCAGGAGTGAGGCAGGGTCTTGGAGAAGACAGGCTGGGGCTTCTCTCTTGGAGAAGACAGGCTGGGGTTTCTCTCAGTGACAAACCCATCAGAGTCACCATCTGATCCTTAATGCTGCTCTGTGAAAATCTGGGGATACACACAAAGGACATCTTCCAGTCACTGCTCAACACCTGCAGGAGCACCGAATTTGACTGGTGAAGAGGACAAAATGTGATTTAATCTGTGGAATGGCCAAGGGTTTGAGGTTGCTGTTGGGTGTGTTTTGCCATCGGCACATGGGGATCACACAAAGAAAACCCTGTCCCCCTCCCAGTCCATGAGCAAGGAAAGTGCCCAGGGACTTAACCACAAGCAGTTCCTGCTGTATCTCTCTGCTTTCCCATGCCTGCTTCATAGCCAAAGTCTGCTGAAATAGCCCCAAAACATAGAGATGAAAGGGAGAGCAAGATCAGACTGGGTAGCAACACTAATAATTCAGTGGTCAGCAATCACTTTTTAACAGAAAGTACTTGTTTCCTCTGTTCTTTACCTGATTTTGATCTTTCCTTTAATAATTTGTTGTGATGTTTTATTAATGTCACAAAGTCAAGTCTTTCTCTCAGACAGGGAATGAAATATAATTAGTGCAGAAGAAAACTGCTGGGCAACTGAACAGATGAGTGTGGTTAGATGAAAAGGGGAAAAAAATCCTCAGTAGGAGTTTCTATCACACACCCCAGCACAGGCTGAGAAATGGCACAGCCAGGCCATGGCACGGAGCACTCAGCTTCCCACCATAACACCTGGGAGCAGAGCAGTGATGATCCTGGTGACCAAAACTTGTCCCCAAGCATGAAAAAGGGATCTCCAGGCCCAGACTGGGAACAGTGATTTTTGAGAACTGTGCTGGTCCATTTCTGGGAGTTTTGCTCTGGAGCATTGCAAGGAGGCTGTCAGGGCTCTCACACAGCCCTCAGCATCTGTTACACACAATTTTGGTGCTGAAGTGATACAAGGGGACTGCAGCTGCTTGCACCCCAGGGCACTTGCAGCCCTCAAGCAAAATGTTGCTTGTATAAAGTTTTGCGTTGGCTTTATAGGAGGAAAAAAAAAAAGGAAACTACTGGGGGTGTGCAGTGTTGCTACTCCTCATGTTTCTGTGGCCTGTTCTGCTGGCAGAGCCACAAAAGGCTGTGCTGGGGGGTTTGTACTCACAGCTGCTTTCTGAGTGGTGCCAGGTTCCCAGAGAGGAACATGGCCATGCTAAGGAGACAGAGAAGCTTCCAAGCCTCAGCTGGAGGGCAGGTCAGGGACCCCATGGGCCCACCTGCCCCTTCACACAGCAGGGCCACCAAGCCACCTCCAGCAGCCACCCAAACACAGCCAGTGCCCATGGGTGCAGCTGGAGAGGGATCCCTGCCCATCCCTGGGAGCTGATGTGGCCAAATGCCTTTTGGGAAGACCAAGCAATGGATTTAGCAGTGTGGCCATCATGCACTGGCAGAAGCCCCAAAATGCTTGGAGGAACAGTCTGGTAGTCACCCAGTGAGCAAGAGCCACGGGTTCCAAAGACATTTCTGGCTTTATCCCTCAGGTCACCCTGTCCAGCTGAGTAATGAAAAATACTTGGGTTGAAATGACCTTTTGAGGAGTTTTATTTAAAAGCTGTGGGTGGCATTCTAATGTCACTTCAATAATATTTCTTGCTACATCTGTGTTACCTGGTCAGTAATCAAAACCAATGTGTGAACTGAAAATGAAGACCCACAGACAATTTAGGACTCGTGTAAATTTAAACATGGATTGTTTCACAGTTTTAGAGGGAAGAACGAGTGAAAACTGCAACTTCTTCTTTCTTGTTTTTATCATGCTGATACACTTGGATGCAGCTACCCATAACTGGTGCATGGTAACTGCTCTGGCTTTCCCCTGGCCCCACAGAAGGAGATCAGTCATCTGATTAACAGCTCTGCATCAGCTGTGGCAAAGCATAGGGAAAAGAGAGAAAATTAACTAAAGTATCATATGGATTATGCATTTTTAGGTTCATTTTGAGAAAAAACACAATATTTTTGAGGTTTTTCAACTGTCTCAAGTTGCATTTTGATGGTAACACCTAAAGTGGCAGTCAGGTGTGTTCTGTACAGCTCAGAGTGAGACCCAGGCAATTTTAGGAGTATGGAGTATTTACATCTGCATTTCTGCTCTTCTCCAGCATAGCCATTTTTAAAGGAAAGTTGTGCTAAGGGTTAAGATCTGTGCATCTGCTCTTTTTCTTTTATTTTTATCTTGAATTTGATTCAAAACCCAGTAAGTTTTATTATTTTTACTTAGTTTATATGTATCTGAAAACTGTTAGATTTTGTGAATTCAGCTATTATTGAAGATCTCTGTTCTTGATGAGTGACAATAAATAAATGAATAAATGGAAGAACTTGTGAGATTTCAGCCATTTTCACTCTAAATGTGCCTCTGGCATTAATCTATCCTAAAATTCTAATCTCAGCAGCCTGCCTGCCATCAACTTTGACACTGATTCATGGGAAATTTCTTTGAAAGAACCAGTGTACAGTGAATGTACAGTGTACATGCCTCAGACATGTTGAGGCATTCTCTGTGGAGCTGTACTGCTGGCAATATGAGCTGTCTTGGACTTTAGGGTCCCTTCTGTCTCCAAACTGGAGAATTTATCTCTGTCCTCCCACTAATTTAGACAGTAAAGAATTTAACTACCTATACCTTCATGTACATCAAAGAATTCGCATACATCAGTGATTTATTTCTTTAACTTGACCATGTCTTTCCAGAGTCTTGTTGCACACTCACAAAGACTTAAGCAGAAGAGTTGGGACATTCAAATATTCTACGATGTACTTTCCCACTTCTTGTTCCCTTCTGTATTTACATTTAGCAGCCAGATTTTTTTTTTTTCACTTCTGCAAGGGACATATTTTTGTAAATGTTATTAGGTAGAAGCATAATTTTGGTGCTGAAACTATTTCCTGATATGGTCCAAAATTTCCCTGGATGCTGCACCCTGAATTTTTATTCTCATTCTGAAAATCCATCACTTAGAGGGATGGCCTTTCTTTGGGTTCTTCCAGGAGGAAGAACTCCAGGGTTCAAGCTGACATGGCTACAACAAAATTAATACCATGAATTTCCCTGTTCCCAGACTTGTGAATCACTGTAAGACCATGGCACTGCCTCACTTCCTTCCCACACATGGACACATCCCCATTCCCTACACTTTGTTGGTAAGAAACCAACACCCACTTCATCTTCCTTAGACCTCAACAATTTGTTTCCAGCAAATCCTGCTGAACTACTGCCTGCAGGGAATTCTTGTGCTTCCTGGGGATTGTGCAAGGTCTGGTTCCTCAGTGTGTGGAGAGCTGGGAGCCAGTGTGCTCCCCTGGAACGGGAGTGCTCAGAAGTGTGAAGCTTAGGGAGTGGTGCCCAGGTGTGGATAGTCCTACAGGGTGTCTGCCTTCACTCTCCTATCATGGCTGGAGCCAAATGAAGAGTGAAATTGTATCACCCATTTGATAACAAAGTGCAGGTATGTTGTGGTTATCAACATAAAAGTGAAATGTAAATGTTTCTAGACTACTGACTTTAGTTTCTTTGCAGCATTTTCTTCCTGCTTTGCTGAAGTGGCCCTGGGGGTCGAACTGTCTCCAGAAACCACATCCTTCCATCAAATGGCTGCTTCTGCTCAGCCACTTTCCCTTTATCATTCTTCACCCCATCAAAGCACCACAGTTCATTTTACCAGCACAGGCTCTCTTCAAACAACACCCATGGGCCACAGAACGGCTGAGCAGACACCGGAGCAGCTGCAGGCCACATCAGCTGCAGGCCAGCACACGGCAGCCCGGGCAGGAGCAGGCACCACAGCCCCTGCAGACAGCCCCGGCCAGGCCACGAGCCCGGCCATGCCCTCACTTACAGCCGCGGTCAAGAACACGACCACTCCCCCTGTGTCCTCCACCAGCCATGGCAAGGGACCACGTGTGACCACAGGAACTGCAGCAGTGGCCACCAACACCTCCCTGAAGCACGACACAGGCAGTACCCAGGGGGCAGGTGCCACCAGCGCCTCGGCGGGGCCCAGCACGCGGTCACGGAGACAAACAACAGCCACCGGAGCTCCAACAGCCACGGCCCTGACCAACACCACAGGCACCCACGCAGGGACACAAACAGCCCCCACATCCCCTGCCAGCACAGTGAGACCCCCTCCCACCCCACAGCCCTCTGCCATCCCCACAGGCACCTACACCGTTTCTGACGGCAACGGGACCTGCGTCAAAGCCGTCATGGGTCTGCAGCTGATGGGCCGAAACACACAACAGGTGAGGTGGAAGCTGAGCTTTGTAGTGACTTCATTCATTAGCTGGAGTTCATTCTTCCTCTTTCCGAGCCATTTTCAGAATTAGCTTCTATGATCAAAATAAGTGGTTTGCTTCCAGTCTAAGGCCCCTCATGTGCCACAGCATCCCTGCTGGCCTATGTGATGATGATGCCAAGGGGATGTAAAGGTGCTTTCTTACTTCAGTGATATTTGTGTGGGAGCAATGCTGGGGCAGGGGATCAGCCTGCAGGGTGATTTGTGCTTCCCACAATGGGAGGTTAGTTAAAATCTGAACTGACTTCAGGTAAGAGCTTGACATTGTGAGTTGTAAGGAAAGCAGCAATTGCCGGTTCACAGACTGGGATTTAGAGGTGGGCTGTCCTGATGCTGATGTATGGACGTTTTAGGATTGTGGGAACTGCCAGGTCCTGAAGAACTGCTCCTCTCTCCTAGAAGTGAACCACTGAGAATGATTCAGCAAAAGATGCCATACAACCTTACATGGCAATTGTGTGCCTCAGGGTTAAGGTTTTGTTGCCTCCATTAATACACCATATGGAGCCACATCCTCAGGCTCTGGAGTTCTTATGCCATCCCTGTTACAAATACAAATACTCATGTTTTATGTCTGAATATTTCTAGCATAGGAAGTGACTAATATTGGTAAAGGCAATTTTCATCCCTTGTCCTGGCAGAAGCCAGGAAGGGAGCAGGATTCCCAACCTCACCAGACCATAGTGAGATGTTGATAATAACATAAGGTACTCCCTCTCTGTGAATTACCACTCATACTCACCTGACTCTGCCTGAATCATATCAGTTCACTGAATGAACAGAAACCAAATATTTTCTGCCAGCTTAATGCAATGGAACAGCTCAGTGATGTGTCAGACAACCACCAGTGCTGGTTAATAAGTGGGGAACAACCCTGGCAGGTAGAAGTTAGGCTGCCACCAGCACTAGCACGTTCATTCAGCCATGCAGAGCGTGTCTGGGGGCATAAAAAGGGCAAATCTCTGCATGTTTTGAAGTTATTAAATCTCTGCATGTTTGCTTTCATTCATCAGCAGTCCTGCAATGTCTCTTTTCTCTCCAGGAGCAGATGGAATATGTGACTGTTAACCCAAATGCGACAAAGATATCTGGGAGCTGTGGGATGGTGCAGTCTGAGCTGAGCTTAACTTTTAGTGGAGGATTTGTAAACATCACCTTTGTAAAGGTAACTGTTGCATTTACAGGGAAGGAATCTTTGGGACTGGAAAGCAAGAACAAAGCAAAGCTGCCTTTGATCCAGCTTGAGCTGTGGGAAAAGCATTTTATCTATCTCTGTGCTTGTTTTCCATCTGAATATAAGACATGGTTTCTCCTGTTCTTCCCAAAGGGCTAGAACCACAGAACCATGGTTTAATTAATTTAGATTGGAAAATACCTCTGGAGGCTGTCTGGTGCAATGTCATGCTTGCAGTACAACTGACTTCATGTTAAATCAGGTCTGTCTGAACTTTCCATTTGGAAGGGAAGGGTAAGCACAGTACTCTGCCATCCTCTGACAGAAAGTGCCAGAGAGCAGTGTTAAAGCTGCCCCTCAAGAAACACAAAGTCCAGGAATAACCAAGCAAAATCTGAGTCTCTTTTTTACATAGGTAAAAGTCTCATGGGAGGGGAGGTCAGATCTGCTGTTTGCATTGGAATGGTGCAGAGAGAAGGGTTTGGGACTGGAGTGTGTGTGCAGAACAAGGTGTGCTGGGAGCTCTGACTCTCACTGTCAAGTTGCTCTCAGCCATTTGCATCTCATAAAAACCACCTGGGGCTGTCAAATTCAAAGGACAGCCTGTGCAGATTTAAGTGCCCGGGAGCCATGACACATCCACAGCTGAAGGAGTCTAATTGCATCTAATTTCTGAGTGGAAAATTCCAAACAAGTGAACTGCAACAGCAAAATTGTAGATAAGTGGCCTTAAAATGCACCAAACCAGGGAGACCTATGAACACACACAGAAACTTGGGCAAGATGAGAGATCCTGCTTACACAGTGGGAAACTGAGCTTTGGTTTTGACATTGTGTCTATTAATTCCATGTTCCCCACTGGGGCCACATCACATGTAGGTGTGGCTTTAACAAAAGCTACCAAGAGTGCTGCAGCTTTTACAAGCCCAGGAGAAAATCCCTGACTGCAGCCATCCTCTTGCTAAATCACATTTTGGGAGGCAGCACTATTTACCTGAAAGCTGTAAGGGCTGGGTGATGATGCCAGCAGAGGTAAAACAGAACTAACACTATACTGTATACTACTCTATAACACTAACTGTGTATAAAGTCATTAATGGACAGGGAGGAATGGGCAGGAACACGGCACAGGCTGGATCCCATCAAGCTCTGGCAGGTGTAATGAACATCAAGGCCATGGCCTGGAGCTCCAGCTGAGAGCTGCATCTGGCCATCACTGCTGATCTGTGTCCTTCAATTAATCAAGCTAAATATCAGTCTTGCTGCCTGATTCCAAGCTCAAATTAGAGACAATTAAGAAAAGTACAAATGGTTAATCAGTCATTTTCATAGAAAGTCCAAGAGAGAACAGCAAATTATACCACACGTTTCATTAATTCTTGAACAGAAAAAAATATTTTGATTAGTACTCATCTTTATTTTAGCTTATGGCTAAAAGTTTTCTAAGAGCTACAGAGGAAAATTAAGGTAAAAATTTAAGGAGCTCTTTCAAAACAACGGATCAATTCAGACTCTGAGTGTTTGCTTTAAATGTGTGCTTCCTGCAACAAGAGGAGCATTTTTGGTGTTACAAGAATCCTTAGGGAAAGGCTGGGGATTCAAGTACCCACGAAAGCCCCCAGGTTGCAGCAGTGCTAAGGAGAGTGATGTGAACCTTTAGGAGGTGCTTGACCTGCCTTGCCCTGAAAAAGGTGGTTTTTGGCACAGCATTAGACAATGCACCCTCCACTTAAAGATAAGCCTCAAGAGCGTAGCAGGGCTCAGCTTGGACTGCTTTGAAATTCAAGTTAATAAGAAAACAGTTTGCTGCTGGCTTTTTGTGTTTGGTCCCCACAGCCTCTCTCAGTGCTTCGAACAGGAGTGCTCCAGCAGTGGCACTTGTGGCTGTCCCTGTGGGAGAGGAGCTGGCTCGAGCCCCGGGGCTGGGGTGGCAGAGGAGAGGGGCTGGTTCAGCGCTCGCCACTCCAGTGGCCTCTGCAAAGGGCTTGAAAAAAGGAAGTTGTGTAACCAACCCACAAGATGTGAAGTAGGAGCAGGTGTTTTCCCCAAGCAAAGTTTTTAACTGTGGCCAAACAGAACAAAGCACTGCCACCCAAAAATGGTCATATTTATGTATTTAAGTTGGAATGATGCTGAGAACCTCTTCTCTGGTGCATTTCTTTCTTCAATTTTCCCACTCCATCCTACAGGTGCACAGGAGATATTCATGCCATTTACCCACCAGCTGCACTCATGAATCCCTGTGTGTCCACAGCAGGAATTTAGCAGGGCTGCTGCATGAGGCATCACATTTTACTCCAGCACTGCTACCAGGGAGAAGCTGCCAGGGCTGGCTCTCACCCTGTGGCACTCCAGGGGAGAGCAGTGTCCAGGCTGCACCAGGGCATCAGGGCACATGCGGGCAGGACAGCTGGCTGGAAATTTTGGTCTGTGCTGTTGTGCCAGGTGCTTTCCATGTCAGCAATCTTCCTACTATTGGTTATCACAAGTATCTGATGAGTGCCCATCTTGAGCAGTTTGTGTAAAATCAAACCTGCATGGCCCAGGTTCATTGAACTGAACAGGACTGGTGATGCAGCTGGGATTCGGAAAAGAAAAACACATCCAAGAGAATTGGTTCTTGGGTCTCAACGGTGATGCTTTACAAAGTGTTCCTTTAGGAAAAATTCTTTATGACCATTTTGCTGAGGTAAGCTGTGTTTCTTTCCCCTGCAAGTATGAGCATGTATTATGAATAAAGATACTATCTTCTTTTGCAGCAAGCTTCAAGTTACTCTGTGACTAAAATTGAGAGCAGAATACAGTTCTCTTCTGAAGGTCAGTGATTTTACCCTGTCTTAATTTAATACCAAACTGTTCTGGGTGTGGGATAGGCATTCTGATCTTTAAAACACTGGATTTTGCAAATATGTGTTTTATCAAGCTTTCAGTGACTGCAATTACATCACTATTACTGCATTTTCTTTTTGATCTCAAAAGCTTTCCCTGCCCCACTCTTTCAGAATGGAGATTACTTCAAACCTTGCCCTCTCCTGTGAGAATTCTAACCTCCTCCTGCAGACTCAATTTGTTAAAATGTGATTTCAAGAAGCATCTGAAATTTTAGCCACTTTTTCAGACCTAAGCTCAGCTGAGTTGCCCATTGATAATTAAAGCACTCATTTAAAGTGTAAGAAGAAGAAGTGATAGGTTATGGAGAAAGTGTCCATGCTTTAGTCACCTCTGGGACCATTTTACCTCGGGAAGATGTTGGTTCCAATGTAGTCAGTGTGGATTCTCATCTGTCTCTCTCTGGCCTCCAGGTATGCTTTACTATGCAGCCCTAAATGAGAAGCTGTTCACAACAAAGCTGGGGAATTCCTTTAAGTGTGCCAGCAGGCAAACCTTCCCCTTGGAGAAGAACTTCCAGATCCTCTTTGTTCACATGCAGCTGCAGGCGTTTGACATTGTGGGTGACCAGTTTGGAAAAGGTGAGTAGAAGGATACTCTTCCACCCTTCCCAGATCTACAGCACTCTGGTGGCCTGATGGATGTGATCTGCTAAATTATACCCATACACATCCCACTGCTGTTTTCTCAACTTCTCCTGAGTAATTTCCAACATAGTGCTAATACCTATGGAGGATGGAAAAATATCTTTTCCCCCTGCATTCAATACCTTCTGTTTCACCTTCTCATTAAAACTGTTCAGCTCTAGAGACACAATTTTCTTCTTCATGAATTTTCTCCCTGAACAAGCAGAGGTGTGTTCACCACCAGTGCACTGCCCAAACCCCAAAGTTCATTTCCAAGTCACTGTTCTCAGTATAGCCAGATTTTAGCTATTCTAAAAGGCTCCTGATACTCACATTGTCCCACAGCTGCAGCAGCAAAACTGTCAGTTGATAAAGGATAATTGTGAATGCAGGATGATATTTTCAGAGCAGCTGTGTCTAGAAATGATGAAATGTGCTCCTGAGGAGGGGCACAACTGGCCCACTCCCAGCTTCAGAATGAAACATGATGCTCATGTCTTCAGTTTGTCTTTTCTTGGAGAAGTGCTACAAAGAGGCAATCAGGTATCACAGTAGAAGACAAAGACCAGATAGGGGGACTCAGTGGGACCTTGTGGTCTCTTTCAAGTTGTCCATTTTCTCATTTCTGTGGTGTCCTCTCAGGGATTTCCATACAAGAACTCAGGTGCACAGAGGGGCTGAACAGCTCTCCAGCCCTTCAGATTCAGCAATAAGATATTTTCTATTCTGCCACTTGTTTTTCTGCATGCTTACAAAATACTGCCCCTGTATTCTTTTTAATTTAGATCTGTCTTTAGACTCAGTTTGGCTCTCTGACCAATTCTTCTTTTGTTAGGTCACCATTTTTGTTACCTTTTTCCATTCTAAAAGGAATATGATGGGAAACAACATTTGGGACTTTTTAAAGACATGGTCCTTCTCCACACTGAGAATCCCATCTATGCTCTCATTCTCTGTAAATTTTTTTCATGGGATAACAATGAGCTAGAAGAACCCATGGGATCCCATCTGGTCCCTGCATTCCCATTCAAATATGTACAATGAATCCAAATATTACTTATGGGATTAGGTATAGTCTCACTTCTAGGAGAGACTCAGCTGGAAGGATGCCCTGTTTCTCCCTCTCACTCCAAGTCAGACTAATCTCTGCTAGTCAATACCACATACAAATTTAAATTAGTTTTAATCAGAGAGCTGAGAAAGCAGCTCCCACCTCTGAAATAATTCCCCTGTGGCTATAAAACAGTCATGAAACTGTTGTGTATTGGCTGCGTGTGCAGATTCTGAAAGAGAAAATCCCCAGTGAAGGAATGACTAAACATCAGCAGCCTTCTCCCCTCGGGTGTCTCACGACTGATAGTTTCACTTCTGTTGCTCCTGATTTGCTTATCTTTAAATGGAGAAGAAAAAGAAAATATTAATGGTCACTGGTTTCAAGTTCCTTACAGTTTTGTAGAGATTACAGCAGTGTTGTATCAATAGCTTGATCTGTTTGAGTCTAGAAATCTCAAACAGAAATTGTATCAGAAACAATTTATAGAGTTCATTGCTTCATTCCCAATGTTTCATCAAAGCAAAATGGCCAATTCAAACATCTCTGGCTTTTACAACACTTAGATGGAAATACTTTTCAGCTCATTTAACAGCAGGTTACATTAACCAGACAGAGCTTTTAAAAGGCAACCTCTAATAGAATGCTCATGCCGCTGGCTTTGTGGCATTGCATCACCATCTGGATTAGAGCAGAAGAGGATGAGACTTTGGGAAGAACCATGTGGAGGCTCTGGAGCTGTGATGTGATGTCATGGACTCCACATGTTCCCTGGGCTCATTGCCCACTGACAGTGCAAAATTCCCATGGGGGAAAAGCCCAAGCCAAGCTACAACCTGTGCCAGCACAGTCATGGAATAGAAGTCCAGGTTTTTATCTCCAAGCACTATCAAATCCTGCCTCAGAACAGTCCCAGGGCGTGAGGGGGCACAGGGTGTCAGATCTCCCTTGTATCCTACTACAAACTGGATTTGCTGCTGAACTGGGATGTGCTGTGGAGTTTAGCTGTGGGGTTTAGCTGACCACGCTGCCCTGCTTAGAGAACAGTTTGCTCTGCAGTTGTCACTCACAACAGCATGACAGAGGTGTGTCTTTCCCTGGAGCAGGAAGATCATTCCTGTAGATCTGACTGGAGATGCAGGTCTGATCCAATTCTGGGATAACACATTAGTGGTCATTCCCAGACATTGCCTTCACTCCCAGGACTACACTTTTATTTTGAATTTGAGGCTGATCCTGCCATTGTAACTGGGTAAATTTTCCATTTCTGTCAGTGGCCCACATGGTGCAGTCTCTCCATAGGAAAGCTGCCAATTTACTTCAGTCTAGAAGTTCACTTTAAAGTAATAAGATCATCAGAGGATGATCTGAATATTCATTTGGGTAGGAACTGGCTGAGGGAGCCAGAATTTGCCCTCGCTGTAGCTAAGAGGTATGTTTGGAGTGATATCTTTGGATGGTCCTTCAAAGATATGATTTGTGTCTGATATCATCATATGTACAACGGAATTGCAAAGGTACTGCTAAAGCAACTCCCTGGACTATGTCCAAGGCTTCTGCCTTTCTAATCTCTGAGTGTTCTGAGTTAGCCACCATTATCTACAAATACTCTGAATTTGTAAACAGAGAGAAAATTAGAATTTGATTTTTCTTAGAAAACACTGACTTAACAAGAATCCCTACTGCACTTGTGATGTGCTGGACTATGGGCTTCTGTCCCTGGCCTGATCCTCTTCACTGGGAAGAGACAATCAGAAGTCACACAGGAGCAGTTTTTGACCTTGCAGGATGTCCTGCTCTTCATTTTCAGGCTGGCACTTTGTATTGTGTTGCTCCCCATCTGGTTTTGGGAAGAAAGCCCCTGCTGTGTGTGTGCTGAGTGGTGAAACAATTCCTGCAGATGTGAGGGAGAAGAGTCATTCTCCAGGGAAGCACAGAGCTACAGCAGAAGGGGCAAGGATGGTTTTCTTGAGATAAGGCTCATCACAGATAGAAGTGTTGTAACTATAGCTCAGGAAAAAGAAAGGAAAAAAATAAAAAGAAAGCAAGGTTTTGAGAACTTCTGACTTGTATTTGCCAACTTTACTGGAATAGAGATGTACAGTTTAGGAGTATGGTGTTCTGCTGTAACATTCTCTGATCTCCTTTTCCTTTCAGAAGAAGAATGTTTTCTTGATAGAAACGGCAGAGTAGCTCCCATTGCAGTGTGCCTGTGTATCCTGGGATTGTTTGTCATTGTGTTTGCCACCTTCCTGATCTCCAGGAGGAAGCCACAGAGAGGATATGAACGCATCTGAGGTGTCCCTATGCTTCCAAGTGTGTGCAGCAAGCAGAGAAGTCACAGGAGTTTTTGCTTCTGCCTGGCAATCTCTCTGCCACATTTTTAATTGAGATGACACTGTGTGTTTACAGCTCATGAATGTTTCTGGAAGGAGTTCTTTTAAGGTGGGGAGAGAACTCACACCTTTTGCTTTAGGCTATTCTTAGCATCTAATTTAGATGTAGTCCAAAATGAGGAGCCTAAATTCTCTCTGTTGTCAACAAAGAAGGTCATTCAGATCACTTAAGCCAGATTCCTAAAAATAGCTTAAAGCAAGCAGTATCACTATCTCCCAGAAAATGCATCAGGTTTGTTAATGATGGTGTTCAGATTTATCAAAAGACGTAAGCCTGACCTTCAGGTGAATAAACCTGAGGGCCACAGCTACAGACAACCCTGCTAAGTGAGAGCTCACTGAAAGCTTTTTCAGAACATGGTGTGTGCCAAAATCTCAGGGGAATTGTCAGTGTGACTCCACTCACAAGCAAGTTCTCACCAGTCCTACACACAGTTATGTTTCCTAAGCTCCTGGGGTTCTCCCACTAAGCCCTTTGCAAAGACAGGGTGGTAATTGTGACTCTTACCCTGGAGCTTAGTATGTTCCTGGTCTTGTGAGAGCTCAGGAATCCCCCATGTGCTGTTCAGACATGGACTTGTCACAGTGACCACACTGAGCCTAAGAAATGTCCTCTGCTGGGGCAACAGGGTGGTCTTTTAATCCAGGAATATGCCACATTCACTGGAAATGCCTGGGATTAAGTGACCACCACTGGGGCACCTAAATGAGGTCCCTGAGAAATGGAAATCACTGATGCTCTATGGTCCAGGTTTCAGTGGGAAATAAAAGCTTGCACAGGCCTTGGACAAATCTGCCCAAAAGTGAGTATTCTCCAGGGTGCTCACAGCTGAGCAGCTGGATTTTCACATGGAAATAATTTGGAGTTTCTTTAAAGCACAGTGATACACTCTGTAGTCTATTTCCTGCTGAACCAATGATGAAGGCATGAGAATAGTAATTGCTTTTGAGATGTAAGTCCAGCTCGTGTTCTTCGTTGTAACAAGGAAAAGTTCCTTGTCACAAAAGATTTACATGTGCAGAAATGTGCACATACACACACATACACATGTGCACATGCCACACAATCTTCTCACTGAAGCAAATTACATCAAGATGATAAGAAATTATGTACAAAAACATTTGCAAAAGAGAAGATAATGTACAATAAGAACACACTTCCTCCAAGGAGTTAGGCTAATGGCTTAAATTTTACTAATAAAAGCTTGGCCTGGAAAAGGACTGTGGAATGGCTCTCATTAAACAAAAGAAAGACTGAAGTCATAGGCAAAAATGCCTTAACAGTTTAATCTGTATCTAAACAAAAAGGAAATGCTGGGAGTTAATTTAATTTCTATGAATAATGGCCCAAATCCTGTGCAGTTATTAATGGTGATGAAACTTCACTGGATTTTCACTGGATAAAATTGATGGTTATGTCATGTCAGGTATTCCCTTAAGTATTTTAAAAATAGTTTTGATATTTTACTAGTATTTCACTAGTAAAGTGCAAGTTTACTTATTTAAAGTAAACTTCATTGCAAGTTTACTTATTTAAATGAAGAAAGAAAAGAAATTCTTCTATGCTATGAATTAATTAGAGATGTTGGTCTGTGTGAAGCAGGAAACATGGCCATACTGCTCTATAATCAGTATAATATGTAGCTGTGGAAGTAATTAACATTCTCTAGAAATGTTCCCTTTGAGTCTGAATGAACCAATAAATAAGAAAGATAAAGACAATTTTGAAGCACTTTTACACTTGGAGAAACATCAGAACCAGCTGTGAGCTCAGGAACAGCTGAATACATTTATAAGGTAAAGTAGCACAAGAAAAAGGACACCAAACTTTCAAGCCTTGCATACAGACACCATGTTTTGGACTATATTCAGTTGAATACTCAAATTAAAATGTAAGTATTTTAATTATTCTCTTGCAAAAGGGCTCCAGCACTGTTCATAATGCTTAGTGAGCTTTATGGAGCTCATTTTCCCTTCCTCCTTTCCCCCTTAGCAGACAAGCAGCCACTGGACTCAGACCTTGGGCCTAATAAGATCCCTCTAATTCTCAGGGTTACTTAATACTATGAATCTGTTGCTTACAAAGCAGATTTTTATACTCAATTAAAGCATTCACCTTTTTTTAAAAAATTAGATGTCTGGGAGGAAAGGTAAATGGATGAAGACCTTCCATTTGAAAATGAGCATGTTCCTGCAGTAGGGATGTCACTGTCCCAGTCTGCTCCATGTGGCCATTTTAACAAAAGCTGCCAAAAAAACTCAGCATGTGGTCTGGCCCTAAGCTGTTCTGCCCAGGGATCAGACATCTTCCCCTTGTCAAAGCTGAGTCCCATTTCACGTGTTCTTTGGGTTGCTGGATTGTGTGATCTGTGTTACTTCTACTGACATGGATACAGCATTTACTTGTTCTGTTCTGAAAATTTGCTTTATGTTAATATTCAATCTTTTAAAAAAGTCTGATATCAGCATGAGGACAGAAAAGAGTTACTAATGACTGCTAATTCTGTGGTTAATATTGTGACAATATCGTTAATATTGGCCTTTTTACTAGTGATGCACAAATAATGTTTTTCCCCATAGGTGGTTTTTTTTTTTTCCTACAGTGAAATACATGTTGGTATTGAACAATATTTGGATTAGGAATTACCTTATTTGTTCTTATGCTTTTTCTTGCTGTTTTTTGTTTTCTTGCTAATTTTTTTTATGAAGCTGCATTCTGCCATTTGTACATGAGTGATACTCTGGGCTTGCTCTAACTGGCACCAGTGAAGTGCACGTGGTGCAAACCAATGAAATGCTTGGATGCTCCCAGGAAATGCTGCCAACATGCAGCAAAATTAATCCAATGGAGTTAGTGCTTTACAGCAGTAGAGTATCCATTGGAGAAATCCTTACTGCATCAGGACATCCCAGCCTTGAAGTGCAACCTTCTTCTCAGCTGTGGCCCAGCCTGCATCCCATCACCTCCATCCCTGATCCCAAACACAACCACCCTGCAGCAGGGATGTGTCAGCATAGCAGGGGGCGTTGCCTCTCCAGATTTAATGCTGAATTAGAATCAGACAGCCCAGCTGCTGCCTGAGCTGCCATGTGCAGAATAAATAAATGATGCCCATGTTTATTTTCTGCCAGAATATAGGAATATATTTAGCTGGCACTTTTTTATCTAATGGAGTGGCTTTGAGGTCTCCCTCCTACTGGGAAGACTCTGTAGGGTAATTCCTCTTGGTGTTGCCAGACTTGTTCTTTTAAATATCTTGTCTGGGGAAGTATCTTGAGCAAAAAGTCCCCAAAAGAACATCATACAAAAGGAGGATATTTGACAAACTGCTTGCACGCTAGGTGGGCCATAATGGCCATAGCATGGAGCAGCAGGGCAGTTTCGTCTGCTGTGAGAGGAGACAGGGCTGCAGCTGGGTCCCAGAGTGACTCAGCAACCCCAGCTCACTGCTTCCCCCAGCTGCAGGCTCAGACCAACCCAGCTCTGAGTGCTGATCAGCGTGATGTGATGCACTGATGATGGAGGCATCCACCAGGGAAGCAAGGCTTACCTTCTGTGCAAGCTTGTGCTGGTGTGGGGCCATCACAGGGACTGGGAGGTGAGCACATCCCCACATCCTGGTGGCTCCCTGGTGCTCTGCTGCAGCTCCCATGCCAGATCACCCCCTGTGGTCTCTGCACACCCAAGACAAAATGAGGGTATCCCAGAAACACAATGATGTCACAGACAAGTCACTGAGGAGTTTAAAAAGCAGGGTTTAATATCTTTCAGTCCTTTCTGTTCTCTGATGGACACGCACAAATTAAGAAACAGCTGTTAATTCAGTTGAAAGAGGAAGGGAGATTAGATTGGCATCTTGAGTACAGCTTGGCTGATCACTTCTAGCTTGCTATAATGTATGGCTGCTAAAAATAACTTGCTATGAGAAGTAAGATATGCTCTTTATTTTTCTATTATTGGTGTTTCCATAATAAAGGCTGTATTTAATCATTACAGTGTGCAATGGTTTTATCTCTGAAATGACTGAGTCTCACATGTTGTGCTCTTCATGAAGCAGAGGTTGTTAGATCGACTGCAGGAAAGCAGAAGACATGGTAAAGATGGAGGAGAAAAAACCAATCTCTCTGCTGCCAGCAGCTGATTGAGGAACTTGGCTGTTGGAGAGGTGCCAGTGAGGGTGGCAGTGAGGCTGTAACTTCCCTCAGGGATAAAATACCAGAAATATGCTTCACTTCATTTCTGGTGTCAGTGCACATCCCTAGATGATGGACAATTTAATGTCACAAGGTGAAAACTTTGCAAGCCCCTTGATTTGTCCTTCAGAAGAAAAGCAGGGCTGCCTGGAGAGCAGGGGCAGTTTGCTCTGCCCTTTGGCACTTGCTTGGCCTGGTACAATGTCAAATTTGGTCCCAGGCTTGCACCTATTTAGTGGCAAGATTCTTACTTCTTGTTTTAGAAGCAGGCTGGTAAAAACATATGTGTGAAGTAGGATCTCAAAGGCTGCTGGTGTTTCAAAATTCTTTCTTGACAAGGTTTAGTGGCAGATGGAGGAAAAGTCAACTATTTTACTTAAAGGCAAAGAATCCTCATCTATGAGCCACACCCTGCACTGTCCCAGAGGCACAAAGGTTTGGAATTCATTGAAGAAACTTTTGCATTAGAATATTTAGGAGAAAAAAGGAGGTGTATTTTTTAAGCATCAATTTGAGCAAAATAACAAGTGTGAGAAGAGAAAGATTTCTCTTTTTTAACCCTTTGTGACTAAGGTGACAAGCCTTGGGCACTACACTTTTTTCCTCACATCCAGGGCTGTGGCCATTGAATGCCAACCAGGCAGGGGAATGTGGGTCTGAAGTTTATCTGCCACAGCAACATAACACTGCTGGGCTTTCACCAGCATCTGGGCTTTCCCAGCCAGCCACAAAATGTCACAAAACATGTTTCTCTTTTTCTGTGAGTCTTATTGCCTATGGAACTGGTAGATCTCAAGTATTTTATTAAATTATAAACTAACCAACTCAGATTATTACTTAGCTCTTTGTTCACAATTTTAGACAGGAGCAACATGCAAAACCAAAATAAATGGCTGTTGGGAAAAAGGAAGGTGTTCAATATGAGTCAGGATATCTGTGTTTATTAGAGACACAGATCTTGGTTTAGAACCTCAGTTTTACTGAGGCTTTCCTATATCACAAAAATGTTTGAAGATTATGAATCATGAGTCCAGCCAATGTTTAACCTCATTTTACCTAGGAATGGCTTTTTTGTCATCAGGTCAAGGAAAATGAATTCATATTTCACATTACATTTTTCACAACCTGCTCATGGAAAATTTTTTTATGAGCAAACTGCTCAAACTATTAATCAAAGCATATTTCAAAATATGCCCAGCTTCCACAATGAAATTAAAAAAAAATGTTGCCAACCCAACCTATCCACTATATTGGTAGGTTCACCTGAGTGCTTCTGACTATGGATGTGCACATCAAACATATTACTGGTGTCACTGAGGAAATTATTATTTCTGCATTTAAGCTTTATTACACTGTTCTTTCAAACATCTGTGTGTATAGATCCCGCTTGGCTTTGCAAGCCCTAAAAACCCTGCTGGCAGGATGCCTCCACCAAGAGCAGATTTGCAATGTAAATGAGTTTGCCCCTTCCATTAGTACTACTGCTAAAAGCCTCCTCTGCCACCTCTGATTTAAGTACTGGTAAAATATCTGCAGCTCTTCCCAACGTCCAGCAGTTAAACTACATAAAATGCTGCCATCTTGTGTTTAGAGACAAATTAAACACAACCTTTTAAAAATCTGGATTACAAAAGGCAAAATTAAGATCTACACTGTCAGCATCTTATGTTGAAGAAGACTGGAGTGAATGGATTATGGAAAAGGGGAAGCTTCACTTAATAATTTAGTTTTTAAAATCTCATCCTTAGAGCAAGTGCTGATCCCTCCTGCAGTCAGGTCCAAGGGATGATTTCCCCAAGCTCATCCGGTGTGTGTTTAACCTTCTTGAACCTTCCAGTCACTGGTGAGAGGGGTCACCGTGGCAAAGTCAAAATAGCAGGAGTGGAGCAAGCAGAGACTGCCTGCATACTGAGGATGCTCTACATGTAAGAAGCTGTTAATACTTCAGAGTATGGAGAACGCTTAAGCATGAAACACTGCCACTATTGCAATTGATAGCTTGTGTATTCCCGTTGTGAAAAAGCACAACAGCTTTGCTTTTTGTAAACAACAACTGGAAATACGTTGACTGTGCTGAGGCTGTACAGGTTTTGCAAGGCTCCGCACTGGGGTGTGCTGGGCCTTAAACAGATGGATTTGGGAAAGAAATCCTTCCCTGTGAGGGTGGTGTGGCCCTAGCACAGGCTGCCCAGAGCTGTGGATGCTCCATCCCTGGAAGTATCCAAGGCAGGTTGGATGGGGCTGGCAGCAACCTGGGCTGCAGGAAGATGTCCCTCCTCAAGGGAGCGTAATGTAACGTCACGAGCTTTAAGCTCCCTTCCAACCCAAATCTTCTGTGCCTTTGTGACTTGCAGAGCTCCAAAGCCTGAGGGAGCAGAATGGATCCTGACGGCTTTCTGATCCCCCGCTCCGTGACCTCCTCTGCTGCCAGGAGGTTTTGATGCCCGATCTGGAGATGTGCTATCCGAGGATGCCCTTCCCAGCAACCCTCACCTTTGCGTGTCGCTATCCTATTACAACCCCGGACATCATTCCTGAAGGAGCACGCTCAGCTGAGTCCGTGCACCCACAGGGCCAACAACCCTTCAGCGACACGCACCGTTTCACATCTAAATGAAATTTATTCCATCTGCCCTCTCAGCGCCATTCCTCGGTACTACACAACCCCGCCCCCGACAGCCATTTCTGCGGCTCTCCCCGCTCGGGCCCCGGCCGTGCCTGGCTCTCCTCCCCGTGACGCGCTCCCTCCGCCCGCTCCCTCCCTCCCCCTGAGGGCTCTCCCCGCTGCCGCCCGCGCTCCCCAACATGGCGCTGGCGGCGGCCGAGCGGGGCCTCGGGGCGCTGCGCCGGCTGTGAGTGCGGGCGGGGGGCGGCGGGGCCGGCCTGAGGCGCCGCGGGAAGCGGCCCGCAGCGAGCACGGAGCCCGCTGCCCGGGCAGGACGGGAGGGCGCTCTGCGGGGCGTGAGGGGACACACGGGAAGGCCGGGCTGCTCTGGGGGAAGGAGCAGCAAATAAACCCTCCTGGGCCGTAGGGAATCGCTGTGGCGGTGCCATGAAGCTGCCCCGGCCCCGGGGTCGGTCCGCAGCCTGTGCGCACGGAGGGTGACCATGACAGCTGTGTATTCAATGTTTAGGGCATGCACCGATTCCTCCTCCCATTGTTACAGCCGAGCTCTGCTTGTGGGGTGTCGGGGACGTCCCGTGTCTTTTTGTCCGATAACGCTTAAAGAATGCTGGACTTGATCCAAAATCCCGACGTTGTTTTACATACTAATTAAAACAGTTCCGGGAGTTTGCTTTCACAGCTCTATCCTGTCACTTCACTGCCGTTATCTCATTTAGTTAGCATTTATCACCTGAAGTTTAACTTTCCATTTCTAAAAGTCTCCATAGCTCGCTCTTGATCTTTCACATTCATTTCTCTTGCACCTTTGCTCTACAAAAGCAGCTCCTGTTGCCTTTTTAAGCTTTTTTATTTTATGTTTGCTCATGTCTTCTTTCCCAAATACTTCCTGACTTGGCCTCTCTGTAAAAAATAAATACGAGTTGTTGGCTGTTCTGTCCACCAAAAAGAGGGGTTTTTTGCTTGTTTGTTTTAAGAAAACTCCTTGGTTATTTCTGTTTGAATGCTACTAAAAAAGTAGCACGGGGATAGTTTTTTTTGTGTCCAAGTGAAAGTACTTAGGGAGAGATCTGGTGAAGTTTGGGCACCTTCCCTTGTTACAACTGAATATGTTCTGTATCAGAAGTTTCAGTGCTGCCTCACCTGAAAATAAAATTAGCTCAGTTGCCACTTTTTCATATACACTCATAAGCTACTAAAAAAGTAGCACGGGGATAGTTTTTTTTGTGTCCAAGTGAAAGTACTTAGGGAGAGATCTGGTGAAGTTTGGGCACCTTCCCTTGTTACAACTGAATATGTTCTGTATCAACAGATGCATCAGAATTTTCAGTGCTGTCCTTTTCTCACCTGAAAACAAAATTAGCTCAGTTGCCACTTTTTCATACACACTCATAGCACTTCTGTCCCTTTATAATTGCACAGGCAATGGAACCAAGTACGAATATTTGTGAAATGGGCCTCAACGATAGGTATGAAATTTCACTTCTCTAACTACTAGCTTAAATTGCTGTGCAGTGTGAATGGTTTTAGAGTATTGGTTGCTGAAAGACTGCAGGGTTTTTAAATAAATATTCAGTGTCTTCACAGTTTTTGAAAACAGGAACCTGTAGCTAACCTAACAGAAATCATCTTCAATGTTTAAACAACATTTTGCATAATTTTATCTATTATATCTAGGTATGTGGAAATTAATGAAAACTATTTCATTTTTGTGATGTTTTCCTCTGAGTCCTTTTCTGATACAAATGTTGCAAAGTCTGTGAGAATTGTTTTATAGGCATAATGGTATGTAAACAATATATGGAGGAGAGTAAAGGGGTTTAGCAAATTATTTAAACTCACTGCGTGGTCATGTTATCTAAAAAGATATGTTTGAGAATTCAGAGATCTATTTTAATTTTATTTAGTTTTAAGCTATTTAGTTCTCACTGAGAAGTCTCTGTCAGTGCTGGCCTTATACTTCTGTCAAGTTGTGGCTGCTGTCATGACAGTTTGTGGAAGTTTGTAAGTCACTGATTAAAAAACCAAAACAACAAAAGTTGATAGCTTGTTATTTGTCACTGTTTCAAAGGGGAACAGTGCTCTTCATATGTGAGTCACTGCTGTTGTGAGGGACACAACGCAGCTTTGATTGTTTCCTGGTTAGTGCAGAAGGTACACAGCACAACTATAAGCAT